GCCAAGTCCTTCACCGCAGCAGCCTTGTGAGGCTTGCGAGGTTGCTTTGATTCAACACAAACATGGCACTTAGAACCTTTGACCAAATCAAATTTTGGAATTACATTTAAACCAGCTAAATGAGTTATGCAACCAAAATTAATATGACATAAGCGTGAATGCCAAATATTTGTCTCATTATCGTGGCTCACATGGTTCACGGAATTAAAACAAGTATCCATCAAAGACAAGCGGAACAAGCCTCCACTCTCATAATCTTTTCCAACAAAAGTTTCATACTTAGAAAGTACACACTTATTAGACTCAAACACAAGTTTAAAACCATTACGACAAAGTAAAGAACCACTAATCAAATTCATCTTTATTGAGGGGACATGATGCACGTTCTTCAGCTGCACGGTCTTTCTCTAAGTAAGCTTCAGATCTATCATACCAACACCACGTACAGCCGCACGCGCCCCGTTCCCCATCAACAAGGAGGAAGTCTGCCCGACCTGATTAGAAGAAAACAAAGAAACATCAACACACATATGGATATTTGCTCCTATATCAACCCACCAATCAGGTGATTTACAAACTGAAAGAACAGTAGACAATAAATTACCGTACACCGTTATTCCTGCATTAGTCTCAACTGTGTTTGCTGTTTTCTTGTTTGGCTTCCACTTAGCCTCCTTGCACTCTCTAGCATAGTGCCCAGGCTTGCCACAAGTGAAACAATTTCCCTTTTCCTTCTTCTTCTTCTTCTTCTTAAAAGGAGTGGTAGACTTTTGTTTGAGTTCTTGCTGGAATTTCTTGTGGGATTTGGGAGGATTTTTCTGCACCACATGGGCATTAGAACTCCCCTCACCAATTTTCTTGCCACGAACATCCTTTGCTCTCGCCTTCTCTTTAACATCCAAAGAGCCAATGAGCTCGGCGATGCCAAACTCCTATCTCTTATGTTTTAGTGAAGTAGCAAAATCAGTCCAAGCCTATGGCAGCTTAGCAATGATACAACTTGCCACAAACTTATCAGGCAACACACAACCAAAAATTTCTAACTCTTTTGCCAGTATTTGTATCTCATGAGCTTGTTCTACTATAGAACGGCCATTGACCATCCTATAGTCATGAAACTGCTCCATGACATACAACTCAGAACTAGCATCAGAAACCCTATATTTGGCCTCAAGTGCGTCCCACATCTCTTTACCAGTATGTAGCGGCACATATGCATCAACTATGGTGTCTCCAAGCATGCTCAAAATTGTTGCCTTGAACGTAGTGTCAGCATGTTTGAACACACGCTCCTCATCAGGAATATGTGGCTCAACAGCCCTAGGTTCAGCAACAAAATAACAGTGCATAGAAGTCAACCACAGAATGCAGCTGTCGGGTTCATAAACCCGGGGTCCCTCGCGGACCGGCTTCCCAACAGAGGCTCAGCCCAACAGGCAACGTTGCAAACAACGCGCAACTCATGGGCCGGCCCAAGTACCTAAACGACAGGCCTGAAGGGCGATCCAATCACCGACCGGAAGGCCTGGCCGAGGAGGAACGGCGCTCGTTTCCAACTCCGGCCCACCTCTCCGGTCGGAGCACTCGCTTCGGTCTCCAGCCCGTCTTCGGACGGGATCTTTGACCAGAAGGCTTGGCCAAACACCGCTTCCGACTCTGACCCACGTCTCCGACCGGGGATGCACCAAATCCCTACTTACTGCTCTTCTCCGACTGGCACGATCAGAGCCGACTGGGACGAACCGACCAGGGACGCCTGCTCGGTAAGGACCAGAAAACGGACGGAGAAAGTAAGGCAGGGCGCGCAAGTCAAACAGCAATACCAGGGACCGTACCCTGTACACCTGCAGAAACAGTGCTCTGCGACCTCCCTAGCATGACAGAACCCGAGCAGTATTGTAGGCGCCGACATTTTCTCCTACAGTGTTGTGGGCGCCATTAACTCCCATATAGTAAGGCTCCCCCACATGCCTCTGGGCATCGACAGTGTTGTGGGCGCCGACATTTACCGTACCAGACAAATATGGTAAAACCCCTTCACCTCCAAGTATCAACAGTGTGGCAGGTGCCGACGTCTGCCATACCCAAAGAAGACAACACAACCTCCCACGTGCATCTGACATTCAACAGTATTGTGGGCGCCTACCATCATCCTGTACCCACCGGCGTGGGCAATAAGGCTTAGTAGCATACGTACTCTCTCCCTCTCACTTGTAAAGCTATCCCGTTCATCTATAAAAGGGGATGCACTCTCCCCCAAAAGACTCAGTTGATTCAGATTCATCAGATCGATCAAGTTCACCCGCACACAACAACAGAACCACCAGGTTCAAACCATGAGCACACGCTTGAACACTTAGCTCATAGTGGGGCTCCCGTCACTCTCGGCCCTTCCGACCGGAGTCCGACCGGACCTCTTGTACCCCTATCTTTCTTCTTCTCGTTTGTAATCCCACTGCAAACTTCGAGCACCTGGGCTCAGGAATAAAGTCACCGACCGACTTAAACTTGACGTAGGGCACGTTGCCTGAACCAGTATAAACCCTGTGTCATTGAGTGCTAGGCCACCTCCGATCACAAGGTACGGCAAAACTATAAATATTTACGTGTTGGTCACTTTCTGCACCGACAGCACCTCTGCCGCCACCTCTTGTAATGAGTGCCCTCAAAGACATTCGGTTTCAGCATACTCGTAAAGCCAACTACCGAGAATTGCCTATCATGTTTTTGGATTGTTAGAATATTAGGCAATTTTAGTAGCAATTTAATCCAGAAAAAGACAGTAAGCAATATGAACATATTGGTGACATCATATATGTGATTGTGTATCTTAAGCGTGACGAGCATGTAGTTGATACTCAAACAAAGGATTTTTAACCATGACCTTAAAAGGTTCGGTCCAGAGACATATCCAGCGGTACAGCCGGATGCACTCGAAGACATAGTGCCTGTTGATGTAGTCGTCCCACTCAAGGAGACGTGCGGACGCAGATGGCAGTAACAGGTGAAACTTCCGCCATGAAGCTACCACCAACATAAAAGAGAGTAACTCCTATAACCTTCCACGCGCACGCCCACGGCCGGCGGTGGCGGCACGCGCGCGCGTGTGGCACACTTATGTCTTTTTCTCTGCTTCTCAATATAGATGAACAATATCCAACCATATAAACCGAGTCAACGTCCTATCAAACTCCCGTACGGTATTAAACCATATATCACGCATTATTATGAGCCATAGAGTTTATTTGATTTATTAAATATTATATAGGCCAGACCCATAATATATACATCGGGTTAAACTAAATTTGGACTCCGCCTGCACTCGTCGTCCTCAGCTAGCTTGCCTGGATGGCTGGAAGTGTTAAGTGTTTAATGTGACGACAGGGACAAAGGAGCACTGATAAGATGCGCATGATCGAGGATTTGGGCAAGGCTCCTTCATCATTCTGTGTGTGCAGTACATTTTGATTTTTCTAAGTTTTTTACAACAAAATGTTTTTGCTGCTTCAACACAAGCAGGACGATCTATTTGATTCCAGCTGCAATTGACAGAACCATACCGAGCTGCAATGCTGCAGCGTCCTCCCTCCCATGCCATCCACTACTGGATTCACGTTCTTTGCGGCAAAGACCAAATTGCACTCGGCAAAGCCTTTGCCGAGTGCGGCACTCGACAAAGAACACATGGTAAAAAATTGATCGGCAAAGCCCTCTTTGTCGAGAGGCCCGAGGGCACTTGGCAAAAAAGCGACCGTCACGGCGCCGGCCCGTTGATGGTCTCTTTGCCGAGTGCCAACCCTGCAGGCACTCGACAAAGATTTTTTATTTTTTTTAAAAAAATCTTTTTGCCGAGTGCCCCCTGGCCGACGCTCGGCAAAGTTTGAATTTTTTTTAAAAAAAATTCTTTGCCGAGTGCCCTCTGGCCGGCACTCAGCAAAGTTTGAATTTTCTTTAAAAAAAAAAATTCTTTGCCGAGTGCCCTCTGGCTGGCACTTGACAAAGTTTGATTTTTTTTTAAAAAAAAATCTTTGCCATGACACTCGGCAAAGCTGGAAAAACGGTTTTCCGAGCGCCCATTTTTCCAGCTTTGCCGAGTGCTGTGACCATGTGCACTTCAAGCCAGTAAAAAAAAAGAGAGAGATCAGATCAGGCAGCAAGAAGAAAATGGCCATGCGATTGTGGCTTTCAGTTCATGGCCACCACATCGTCTAACAGCGAACTAAATGTTCTGAATTCCTTCGGTCCACTAGTTCAGTAAACAGAAACTTAAGACAAAAATCAGTAGGATTCCAATCTTCCTTTTGGCATAGTAAATAGGTCCCATCACTGCAAGCAACCACAGGCAAGAGAGATTACTCTCGTGTGCAAACCGAGAGATCGGTTTGCCCAAACCAAGCAGCAGGATAACCAGCAGCCCCGGGGCAAATCCCATACACCTGTCAAGTTCTCAAACTGCACAACATCAGAGTGATACACAGTATTGCCATCTTTTCTTGTATGAGTCTGAGCTACAAAAATTTCCCGGGATACATCACGAAATCCGTATACAATGAAAGACAGTGCTTCCTCCTAGACGAATGTGGAATGATGCATCTACGGCACTATGCCCCTAAATTTAGGAATAAAAGAACTTTGGCGACACGATAACCATGAGAAAAGAAAAATGGACCTGGTACTGTGGACTTGATTGATCCTGGTACTCTTTATTGGCTACCACAAGGAATTCAGTTTGTTACGGGCTTCCTTGTTTTATTCATGTCACTCTTTCATATGCATTACCGATCTGCATGTGAAGCCAATCTGACATCGAGCCCTGGGCGTATTCCCTTCGTGTTTGTGGATCCAACATCAGACTAGGAGCAGTATTATATGGCGGAGCACCAAACTGTAAGAAAGCAGGCACTGGTGAACCCTTTTGAACTTTTGTCAAAGTTTGTAAGCACATTTAACAGAATACGCACCGTCGTAAAACTCAATAAAAAAAGACACAAGCATGCCATTCAACAATGTACTGGTCCTATAATCTACAATTTTGAGCAACAACAGCAGTGGTCTAAACTGGAAGTTGAACAGCAGCTCGTCACATAATTTAGTACTATTATGACCATATTAATATGTAGCATGAACAAAACTGGAAAATAACTCATGGGATGGCAGCTAAACTCTATGGTTTGGTTTGCAAAAGTACAATTTTGTAGTAACAATATTGTTACTTTTGTTTTGAGTTAAGAATTTTACATATGTGTTTAGGAATGTGTCATGAGTCTCGACCGACACACTTTTAATGGTTCAGATGGAGCACCAAATGACTTCAAACAATATGGAGTTCAAAGCTTCAGAATTCAGAAATATTTTTTTAGTGTACCAAAGTTTGCCAATTAATATAGACTAGTACAGCTTAAGATGGCTACCATGGTTGTGAGTTGTGACACATAAAAATGCTAACAGGTGTAACGAGATTAGGTCATTTAGAAAAATTAAAATACTTAAGCCGGTACCCTGTTTTTTTTTCAAAAGGTTGGAAAGAGCTTTGCTGAAATATATTAGTAGGATAAAGATATAAAGTTAAAAAAGAATAGTTACAACACCGAAGCCGGTACCCTGTGTATGTGTGCAGAAAACAAGATGTGCAATGACTCATACTAAGCTGAACTTTTTATTAAGAATCCTGAAAACTCAGATTTAACAGTTGATGAATAAACTTACATCTTTCGTTGGAAAAGCTACAGTCGCATTGTTCATATGAGCATTAATCGCTTCAAGTTTCATGGACAAAAACTGCATAGAACGGGTGAGTAATTAATTTGAATACATACAAGAAGACAATTTCACATGAGACCCAAGACCACATACCTCCACTTGACGCTGTAAAGACTGGATGTAATTTATTATCTCATCAAGGACTGATGCTTTCCCGATAACTTTTCAAAAAGAAAACATAATGTTTACAACAGAAGCTTTCACTGAAAATAAGGACCCGGAGAAGACAGCCACATGCTCACATGGTAATTGAGAACTAAAAGCATGACAACGCAGAGCTTTGAATCCATGGGGTTCAACATGTACCTTGTTGCATCCAGGGACAATATCTTGAAGAACTTTCATCCGTTCACTTATCTTCTCCCGTCGCGCCTATCAGTAGACATATTGAGTTGATCGGATCATTAATTTGAATAACTGCAACTCTATTATAGGCTATAACAATAGTTGCACATTCTGATCTCTGTAATACTCAGTGACTAGACTATTAAGAAAGCATCCAAAAGTACTTGTGAAAAGTCCATGAGAAGGGTATGAGCTTACTCTTTCTGCGAGGCTAGGGCTATCCGTTGCTTGACCTCTTCTAGCCCTCACATGGATGTAGTCTTTTGGTGGCTCTTTAGGTGCAGGCTTTTTATCCGCAGACTTGCTAGCGTTCCCTGAATTTGTTCCAGCTTCTGTCCTTCTTCTGTCATTATTTTCACTAGGTGCCATCTGCTTCAACCGTTTTGCTTCTCGGTCAGCCTAAGAAAAAGAATATACAAATACGCATGAATCCATCGAATTGAAACAACAAACAACCGTCATTTTGCTTTGTGTATTTAAAAACTCCATTGAAATTCATCCCTGCCCCATTGCAAGGATAGAAAGGCAATGTAAATGCCCGTAAGAAACAGAGAATGAGATCAATTAAACGTCACAATCTGCATGTCAGCTACAGGAAGTTGTAGGAAAGACCAAAAGCTGCTGCACTAGCATCATATATAAGGAACATTAAACCAGCACAATGCACGCTGTTGCTCACATGGTGAGACAATACAACGATGCCGCAACTACCTATTTGGCCATGGTTTCAGTTTATTTGATTTGATAGCACCCACCAGAATTTCCACATCCATGACAGCAATGTTGGACCAATTGGTTTGAGTAACTAGAAGCTACAGCCTACAGCTTCCATTTATATTACACGATTAAACTACATATGAGCCCAAACGTGTTGTTTTGCAGCAAACCCGAACATGATTGAGTAAAACCCCCTTTCACATGAGGTTGAGCTCACCAGCTAGCTCAACGAGCCAGCAGGGCAGCAATTCATCAGTATCATCAGAACAGTAGAATCACTTTGACTAGCTTTGATTTGGACGGGCTGAGGGCCTTGATTTGAGAACCGTTGCTGCACACTAACTACACCCACACCCCGCGAGCGCCGAGCAGGAACGAGAGTAAAACCGACGGCACGGTCGAGTAGATCAAGGCGGCGAGCTGCCCAAGCCACAATTTCCCGGCGTTGCAGTTGCAGTCCACCAGGCTAGCTAAACTCAGCACCCCAGCCCACCAACGCGACACAGATCACACAGCGAGGCAATGCGGCGCGGGAGGAGAGGAGGATTGGAGGAGGCAGCCGTACCGAGTCCCGGCCGCCCGCACTGCTGCTGGCGGCGGTGCCGGACGTGGAGACGAGCTTGGACGGCGCCGCGGCCTCCTGCGGCTGCTGGAGCCGCCCCCGGAGCGGGCGGTGGCCCAGTGGCTGGCGGGCGCGGGGCGTGCGCGGAGCCGTTTGTCTAAGTGGCTGGCTGGCTGGCCGGCGGTTTGTCTAAGTGGACGGGCCGTTTGGTGAGGGGCCCACTCGGCAAAGTTTTGCCGAGTGTCCGGACACTCGGCAAACGTGTTTTACTTTTTTTTTAAATATATGTATCATTTTTTTAAAAAAAAATACCACTTTGCCAAGTGCCACATAGAGAGGCACTCGACAAACATTTTTAAAATTTTTTTTGGCACGCTCTTTGTTGAGTGTCCCACGGACACTCGGCAAAGGGAACACTTTGCCGAGTGCCTGTAAACTGGCACTCGGCAAAGACCTCCTTTGTCGAGTGCCATGGTCCGGCACTCGGCAAAGATTTTTTATTTGTTTTTGGTCTCCAAATTTTTTGCAGCCCTTTTTAAGTAGGAGTGCCTGGTTTGTAATTATCGTACGTGACAACGTGCACCAAACGTTCTCAAATTTTTATCATAGCCTCCACATACGATATCACGACATCTCAACAAGTTTTATGATTTTCGACTTCGTTTGCTTTTTATAGAATTTAAAAACACTTCGCACGCAAGTTCGCGGTCATGTTTCGTGAACAAGATGTCCGAAATTTCGGGTCCGTTCTTGGATACGGCCTCACACTACACTCAGTAACATGACTATCATTTTTTGAATCATTAAATTCCATTATTCATACCACGTGCTGTTCAAATTTATATTTTTCGAAAAAATTTAAGTAAACGAAATAAAGTAACTAAATATATCAAAAAGACACAAAAAATCCCTCAAATTCTAACTAGGAGTTCCTGGTACTTTAAAAGGGTTGCACAAAAAATTTAGAGGCAAAAAACAAAAAAAAAACTTTGCCGAGTGCCGGGTCATGGCACTCGGCAAAGGGGGTCTTTGCCAAGTGCCAAGAATAAGGCGCTCGGCAAAGAGGGTTCTTAAATTTTTTAAAAAAATTTTCACTTTGCCGAGTGCTTTCACAGGGGCACTCGACAAAGACATTTCGAAAAAAAATTCAAATCTTTGCCGAGTGCCAGATCTAGGACACTCGGCAAAGATTTTTTAAAAACCTTCTTTGCCGAGTGCCTAACAGCAGGCACTCGGCAAAGAAGGACGTGGCCGAACACCGTTACGCGGGGCAGCCTATGCCGAGTGCCGCGCTTTTGTCAAGAGCCGGGCACTCGGCAAAGAAGTCCTTTGCCGAGAGCATTTTTTTGTCGAGTGCCCGGCACTCGGCAAAGAACTCTTTGCCGAGTGCAATTCTTTGCCGAGTGCAGCACTCGGCAAAGAAGGTCTTTGCCGAGTGCTCGATTTTTGATACTCGGCGAAGCATTTTGCACTCGGCAAAATCCCGTTTCCAGTAGTGATCAGGCTCCAATAGTTTTATATATCTACATTTTAGTTTGTATCCCTTAGCTGCAGTGAAATAGATAGGTCATCAAAAAAGAGAGGATTTATCCAGGTTACCCATTCAGTTAATCATCATGCTCAGTTTCATCTGCGGCATTTTAGCCTGCATCCCTTAACTGCAGTGAGATCATAAAAAAAGGAAAGATGGTTTAGGCAGACACCCATTGAGGCCTTGTTTAGTTCCAAAAGTTTTCCCAAAAAGTGCTACAGTAACTATCACATCGAATCTTACGATACGTGTATGGAGCATTAAATATAGACGGAAAAAAATCTAATTACACAGTTTGGTTGGAAATTGCGAGACGAACGTTTTGAGCCTAATTAGTCCATGATTGAACACTAATTGCCAAATAAAAACAAAAATGCTACAGTAGCCAAATTTCTAAAATTTGGCCAACTAAACGAGGCATGAGATAATTAGTTTTTTTTGTTGCCTTCCACTTATTGGCTTTCCTGACGGGTGCTGCCATCATATCGAGGAAGACTCACTGTTCCATAAAACCGGTTTGGTCAGTGCTTATATATAGCAGTGATAGCAGTTGTCTGATGCCTGCTGTCTTTGGGAATAGAACAGTGTTGGTAAAATGGTTTCAGTGTGCTAGTTTGGTCAGTGCTTAAGCAATGATGTTATCTTAGCGCCTGAATACTTTTCTAAATTGTTATGGTTCTGTATCCTTAATCCTAGGATTGCTGATTTTTACACCCAGCAAATAGGAATGTACCTTATGCTCCGCTTTTCTTGCTCGTACCAAGCATCATCTCTTTTTTTTTTTTTTTGCAACCTTCTCAGCATTTACCTGCGATCCTTTAATTACTTGCAGCTTACCTTCACCTCTATCCATGGAGAACCAATGTCAGGATCCCAAATGACCCACTGTGAAGCAATGCAATGAGGCATCGTCGTGCAGTGCATCCTGATAGTAGTATAGTACACCTACCTCTGATGGTGCCATGTGTTCATATCTCTCATGATATTGCTATTGTTGCTCTCCTGTGAGATACATGTTCACGCCATTGAAGAAGGGTATCAGGCCACGTCTCTTCAGCACCGTTTATCAATACAACCCTTTGTTTCTTAATTCCATTTAACCTTTTTACGGACTACATAGAATCGATTCCTGAACCTCTTGGTAAATACATATGTAATATTAGTATTTCCTTGCCATTACCATTTGTTCTCAATAACACTAATAATATTATTTATTTCTTAATGCAACTTTTGCTATTTCAGTCTAATCTGTAGTACACACTATCTTCATAATAAGGTCTCCTCCATAGGTTTCGTACCCTCTTTATATAACTCTATTTCTGTTTGCTCCATGATCCATATTATTGCACAACTTTGTTGTCATCAGGTAATAATCCCAGCCGCCACCATCCCCACCAAACCTTTCTCAGTAGAATGCTGTATTTGTTAATATCTTTTACTTTTACCATTAGGTTTTAAACCTGCTTCTGCATTTTTACACAGGGGGATCAATTGCCTCAAGTGGAAAGAGAGTAGATTTCTGCGCTTTTTTTCCGCATATATGCAAGATTAGTATCCTCCCACCATCAGCAGTTGTGGTGGTGGGTGCCAGCTTGTCGTTTCCTCATGATACGGTTTCTACATGCAGTTGTGGAATGTATCTATCGTACGTACTCGATCATCGTCCTCAGCTCGACCAGATGTGGCAGAACCTCTTAAATTATAGGACCTACATATACCTGTCATTGTTCAACGACCTCTGACGACTATGCATATGTTCCTAATAACTTAAGAAGACTGTCGGGTGTCCTCGGAGAACCCAAAATCATCCACGATTTCCGAGCAGGATCCCATTACAGAGTCATTACAGTATTACAACATTTATTCAAATATCTACATCAGAGTAAAATAACGGAAGTCTTACAATAACTTAGTTTACAAACCAGTTGTTTCAAACCTTACAAACTAAGTTCGATAAATATTACAAACCATAGTAGTGGAGTGGCATTAGTAACATAATACAAAACACACAATATAAGTACCCTGCCCAAGGGTCACACATTCACTTATCATCATTAATTTGAACAACAGTCATGCAGCACGGTCCAAAGCAGACCTGCTCATGAGGCTCACCTGCAACAAGGGTTAACTAACCCTGAGTACGAAAGTACTCAACAAGACTTAACCGAAGTAACAATAGATAAAACTCAGGCATGCAGGCTCAAGGATTCAAGGTAAGGCTTTAACAATTATCAAAGTTTTTTTGCGTAAAAGCTCTCTAACAACATTCTTTATTTCAACATTTTTATCTTCAAAAAGATCATATACAAAGCTAACATGATCCGTATTGAGATCATGAAACTTCATATCCAACTCGTTCTCCAATCTTACTCAAGTTTTATTTATCAACTACGATGATGAACAGTGAGTTGAGTCTCCATAACCGAGGAGCAACGACGATTCGAACCGATATAACCCAGTTGGGGATTCCTAACCACACGACATATGCAGGTCCCTGACCTACATATACCAACCTACCCTTAGATCCTCTAAAACAAGAACGGGTCCGCGCCACCAGAGAATATTGTACTCCACCAATCCAGTCCATTGCCACGTGGGTACACGCTATTCCCGCCATCTCTCCACTCCCAATGCGTAAGTAGCCATTCTCATAACAGAATAGCCGAGTTAAGGCTTACCGGAGTATGTGGCTAGTACTACAAAGTCTCACCTCATGCAATTCAATAACAGACGGTCCTCAATCGACACAGGCGGAAAGAACCCGCTCACAAGACCTCCATGTCTTGTGGCTCTCCTACACCGAGTCCGTCCGGTCTAGATTTATTACTCCACATGATTACATCTTATGAAAACAAAATTAACCAATCATATCCAAAATTCCATTTATGTCTCGCGGGTGACAGGTAATCACCCGACCTTTATCTGTGTAAGCATGACTAAGCATAACTCGGCATTCTCGAAGTAAAACCGGTAACAAGGTTGATATAGAAAGACAAGGTTGGTAATGCACCAATTAGGTTTTCACTCAACTCCTAATCACTTAATGCAATACTTGAAAGCAAAAGTGATATAAATTTGTAAAACATAAGGTAGGTTTAAATGCATCCGGGCCTTTGCTTGATTGATTGATTTTGATTAACTTCCTCCACAACTTGAAAGTCGCTTTTGTTTACTAGACGTTCTGATGCAGATATCAAACCCGACCTTAATGAGACGGATTAACTTCCTCCACAACTTGATTGACCACCACGTTCTTAAAGTTTACGCTTTATAAATTTACTACAAATGAGCGTAGTAACAATGCCATGTTTAACATGATGCGAGATATAAAACATGATGCTTGACGATGGATGCAAAAATTATTAACTTGAATACAACTTTCCTTCATTACATCTCACAAGTCACACAAAGTTATAATTTTTGGTCTATTTAATTCTATACAAAAATAACTTATATATGCATGCAAGAAGCAAGAGAAGCTATTTTCAAACTAGCATTGCATTGAGGTGACCCCACTGAATGCGCTTGCCTTGACCGGCGATTTCTCGAGGGTACCAACGTGATCACCACGACAATCTATGGGTAGCACTAATTGCACCAATCGTTGCACAATAGAGCGGCGCACATGGCGAGGCGACGGCCGTAGCGGTTAAAGCAGAAAGCAGGCTTAAAAACACGCCGGCGAAGAACGGCGTCGAAGGCTTTAAATGCAAGGCACAAAGCATCACGGCAACATGGAGAAGGGACGAAGAAGCCAACGCAGAGCCCTCCCCGTGACGCCGCGTTTCCGGCAAAAGTCAAGCTACAAGGAAGCCAAAGATGGCCACGAGCGCCACTCAACAGAGGCGAAACTGAAAAAGCGAGAGAAGGTCAATGAAAAACGGCGATGTCGGTGAGGTGTCGCCTTCCCTTTTTTCAGCGCGAAGTCAAGATGCATGCTCACACACCGAATTACAGAATTGCCACTCGCTTTGAATCCCAAATTACTCCCAAATCTATGTGGCAACTCAAAAATCTCCAAAAATAAAAGTTGTTCTAAATTCAAAGTTCTACAACTTTACTTTTATAACCATACCCAAATTCGGTCTAAATTTTGAAATGCAAGTTTGAAATCAAAAGGGGACACTTTGAGAATTTACGCCTTTTCAAATTACTTCAAATTTTATAAAACAACTTTGAAAACTCCAAAAACCAACTTTGTACACCATGACAAGCTCTACACCTTTTCTTTTAAGCTAAACCCCAAAATGTGCTTTGATTTGGAAATGGGGTTTTCCAGGGTAAAATTAAATGCTGAAATTAGGGTTTTCGGAAATCCAATACAATACAAAGCTTTGAACTTGATTCAAACCATACAGGCCAACACATACAACATAAAGGTAAACTTTTTTAGTGTATGCATATCAAAATTTTCACTAACACAAAATGATGTGCAATGCATATGATGACATGGCAGGTTTTAGTATTTAAAACACCCGAGGTGTTACAATCCTTCCCCCTAAAAGAAATCTCATCCCAAGATTTAAAGTCCATGGGTGGGTAATGGAAAAGGAAATGTGTTAATCCAAAAACATTCAAAACCTATTCAAAGAACAGCTAAGGTCCTTTTATAAAACATGGTTCGTAACAATAGAGCTCAACTAACATTATTATGTATCGACGCAAGAAACTCTGGAAATTGTTCTAGCAAGTAATCTTCGGATTCCCAAGTAGCTTCTTCTTCGGAATGTTGATTCCATTGTATTTTGTAGAATTTGATTGTCCTCCTTCGAGTGATACGGTCTTTCTGATCCAGAACTCGGATAGAATATTCGGAATAGGTCAAATCAGGTTCAAGTTCCACTCCTTCAACCTCAACATTTTGCTCAGGCACTCGAAGACACTTCTTTAATTGAGAAACATGGAACACATCATGCATAGCTGAGAGATGTTCTGGTAACTTCAAGCGATATGCCACCTTTTCATACCTCTCTAAAATTTGAAATGGTCCAATATAACGAGGTGCCAACTTGCCTTTAACACCGAAATAGGTAACTCCCTTCATTGGTGATACCTTCAGATATACAAAATCTCCCTTGTTAAACACCAATGGTCTACGTCATTTATCTGCATAACTCTTTTGTCGAGACAGAGCTATCTTCAAATTACTTTGTATCTGCCTAATCTTCTCTTCTGTTTCTTTCACAAGGTCAACTCCAAAGAACCATCTTTTCCTGGGTTCAGACCAATTTAGTGATGTTCTGCATCTATGACCATAGAGTGCTTCAAACGGAGCCATTCTAATGCTCTCTTGATAACTATTGTTGTATGAGAACTCAGCCAAAGGCAAACATTCATCCCACTTATTAGAATAGTTAAGGATACAACACCTTAACAAATCTTTAAGTAATTGATTTACTCTTTCAGTCTAACCGTCAGTCTGTGGATGATAAGCTGTGCTATATAGGAGTTTGGTACCTAACGAAGCATGCAATTGTTTCCAAAAGTTGGAGACAAACTGTGTACCCCTATCTGACACAATAGTCTTTGGTACTCTATGTAGACTCACAATTCATGCTAAATACATCTTGGCATATTGGATAGTGGGATATATACTCTTGACTGGAAGAAAATGTGCTGACTTAGTCAGTCGATCTACAATAACCCATATTGAGTCAAAACCTTTTGATGTCTTGGGTAGACCAACGATAAAGTCCATACTAATATCTTCCCACTTCCAAGCTGGAATAGGCAATGACTGTAATTCTCCAGCGGACCTCAAATGTATAGCTTTCACCTTTTGACAAGTATCACACTTGACTATATATCGTGCAATCTCTATCTTCATTTTGGTCCACCAAAATCTCTATTTCAAGTCATGGTACATCTTATTACTTCCCGGATGAATAGATAACTTGGTGGTATGTGCC